TTATATTCAACCTGGGGAGCTGGTGCACATACACAACACATCTTAATTCTTTTTATGCCCCTGCCCCTTCCTGGTGGAAGCTTTTTGAGGACAAGGCTAACTATATCTGGAATTCAGTTAGATATCTGTCTAACTGATAAACAAATGAATGAGAGAGAATGAATTAATGTTCTTAACACCTGGAATGAGAGGCTAGGGACCTTTTGTTAGTGTCCTTAGTAATGGGTCTAAAAGTATCCTCATAAATAGCTAGTTTTTAAATGGATAAGTGAAATGGATAGCCCTTTCTGGACAGTTGGACACAAATACTACCAAGGAATGCACAATATATGCTGAACTACACACACACACACACACACACACACACACACACACACATGCGCGCACAGGAGCACCTCTATTCTCTCCCCAGCTTACACCTGCATGTAAACCTTGAAACATCTCCATTGTTGTAAATACATCTGTTGTAAATTATACTTTTCTTCGTATTTTGTTTCACTCATCACAAACTAATGGACCTTGACAGTCAGCTCACAGATATGTTTTCTTTTGGCTTCCAGTGTGTTGTTTGTTTGTTTAGATTTTTTTATTTTTAATGAATTTGAATATGGGGCATGCACATTTATCTACCTAAGTGGATTGCAGAGAAATTTAAATATGAAGCAACAGACTTTCTTCTTTGAAACATGAGCTAACAAAAGATATGTTACTGAATTCAGCAGGATGAAGGTTACTTGAGGTAACTTGCATGTACTCTTGCAGTAAAAGGAGCTGGACTAAAACAGGAAATAAAATAAAATCTGCTACAACGGCTTGTTTTGACTGCCTTGAGAAGTTTTTCTTCAAAAGGTATTTACCAGTTAAAGAAGTTAATACTTTTATCCAAGCAAGAATGCAGTCCCAGGAATCTTCCAAACAATTCAGTTGGATAAATTCTCAGTCTGGGTGTCTGAGGCCACAGTGCCTTGCAATAAATTGGCAAATGCAATGCAAAAGTTTATGTTAGCAATGACAGTTTTAGTACCAAAGAGTTGGGATGATTTTTAAGTTCAAATTAGATTGTAACTTTCCCTCACTTGCATTCTAAATTGTATAGGAATGTGCAAGAGGGGTAGAGAGGGAAGGAAAGAAAGAGGGAGAAAGAGAAAGCTAAGATTGTAAGGATTTTACTTAACCCCACAACCACAATACATCTCTTGAGGACTGAGATCCTCATGCGGACATTATTTGTAGATCATCTCAAAATAAAGGATGAAAACTTGAAAACAGCTTTCTAAGGAATGGTTTAATTATAGAATCACCTTATCTTGTTTATTATTCTCAGTATGTGACCCTTAGTAGTTGCTAGAGAAATAGTCCTAGGTGAAATGAGAGCCATCGTGACTAACATGTGTTAGAATTCTTTGGAGGTCTCCTGAGACACAAGGTTGAATTTTCCAATAAAGTTGCATCATTGATTCCTGACAGGGACCGTGACCCCAAGTGTCTCCTCCCTGGTCCATAATCCCAAAGTATTTGTCTCCCTAAGGGTATTGAGTTGAATCTTTAGGGTTTTAATGTAGATATGTACTATAACTAGCACATTCCTTGGAGGCCAAAGTTAGAAGATAAGAATATTGGACTCTTCCAGGAAGAAGAGGTTCTGGTAATTAGTACCAGATTGATGTAAGTGACAGGCAGATTTTTAAAATGGCCTCCACCCAACTACATGTCCTATATAATTCCCTTCCCTGAGGTGTGGGCCAGAGCTGGGTGTCTTATAAGACAAAGGTGAAGGGATTTTAAAGGTGTAACTAAGGTTTCAAGTGAGTTGATTTCAAATAAAAGATGATTATAGGTGAGCCTGACATAGTAGGATAAAAACTCTTGAAAGAGTCACTAGATACTTCTAGAAGAGATGACCTCTTCTCTCAGCCTTGAAGAGCAACTATCATGCTATGTTACCTATGGAGAGAGAAGCTTCAGGACTCCAGGGCCTCAGTTGCATAACTTCAAGCAGAAGAACAAACGAAGCTCTGCACAAACTCCTGACCCACAGAAACTCTGAGATTATAAATCTGTACTGTCTTAAGCTGTTAAATCAGAAAACTGAAATGGGAATAGTTACTAATAAACACAGCAAGAAAGTATGAAGATGGGGTTGACATAATATATAAAATGTGAAACAGAGTAGGGAAATAAATTGGTATTCTGAAGTCTGGCTGTGGACAGAGAACTTCTGAAAATAATAGGTCAGGGGAGCCCTAGTCACAGGCTTATGATTGTTTATAGGTTTGCCTTTCCCTAAACCAAGCTCTATGGAGCCTTTGCCATCACATCTCTTCTATAAACAGTTTCTTTCTTTCTTTTTTTGGTACCAGGCGGGTCCTTGCATTTGCAAGGCAGGCGGTGGAACCACTGAGCTAAATCCCCAGCCCATCTATAAACAATTTCTATGGCCTGGGCCATGTGAGGCCCTGTCCTAGACTCTGAATACAGAAAGGAAAACATCAGGTTGAGGAGTCAAACACACACAAGTATGCATGGCTGAGTGTGTTAAATGCCTGTGTGTTTATATGTTTACATGTACACATACATGTATGCATACATATGTTATATACTGAGGATAACTTGGGAGAAGAAGCAGTCAAGATCAGCTTCGGAGGGCCAGGGATTTAGCTCAGTGGTTCCGGCGCCTGGCTCGAAAGTTCAAGGTCCCAAGTTCTATCCCCAGTACCAAAAAAAAAAAAAAAAAATCAGCTTTGGCTGCTTTGTGAAGGGCCTTCCCTATATAAAAAGCTTGACAAATAGAATGGATTTTTACTGTTCCTGATAATTAATAGGAAATAGTAACAAAATATTCTACACAAAAGAGTAATATGACCCATGTTGCATTGTGGGAAGGCCGACATGGCAACAGATGGGTTGTAGGAGGTGGGGGAAGCGGTAAGAACGCTCATATGTACAGGATGTTCATGTATCCTACTCACTCCTCTGTCCTACCGTGTAGCACAGCCCATCCAGTAGTAAAGGGCAGTAAGTGTTGGCTGGATCATAAGTGGACACATAATAAGATGGGAGCTCCAGAGGCAGCGTCTATGGAAGCAGCAGTCTCTAAGAGGTTGAGAGAGCTGTTCATCTGCCAGAGTTGGGGGCGGAAAGTTTTAAGGCCTCCAGGGTCTGATAGATGGGATCAGACAAAGCATCAGATTCCATGTCTGGGCCTCTGCTGAGCTCTAGCTGAAGTGAAAAGGGGCAACTTCAAGGCCTGAAGGCTGAGGGAATCCAGGGAATAAGAGCACCTCAGGGATTCAGCTTAGCATCACCATTCAGGGAAATCTGCCTATCCCCTAGTGTGAAAGTTCAGGTACTTCAGCACCTAATCCTCCCCATGGAGTATTTTAAAAAATTGAGCCCCACACCCATGCCTTGTGCACACTATGGGAGTGCTCTACCACTGACCTACACCCTAGTTCCCCCATCAGCTTTTTAGGAACCCTCTGTTCAGCCATGGTTGGCCCATACCCCTTTCCTTCTTTCCCTCTATTCTTCTTTGGGGGAGGGAGTATGGAGGATTGAACTCAGGAACTTGCGCTTGTGGGGCAGGCAGCAGCACCACTGAGCTAAATCCCCGGCCCGTTTCCCTCTATCCTTACCCCTAGGTGCTTCCCTCTCAGAAGATGTTTCTTCTCAGGATAACAGCAGGACCAAAAAGCATTAATCACTTGATCAACTTGATAAACTGCTTCATTTACAGATAAGGTACCCTTCTCTTCTTTTCTGACTCAAGGTTAAGATGTTCTTTTTTCCACCAAAGCCCATGCAGTCCCTCTGCCTGTGCTGACTATTCCTCCATCCTTTCATTTATTTTTTCACTTAGTTATTCCTTGACAACTATTTATTTGAACACAGACACTATTAACCACTGGAGGCATAATGGGGATGAAATGGAGTGTCCAAGGTCTCAAACAGCTGACAGTATAGATCGAGAGGTAGAAAAATAAGTGCTGAACAAATAAACTAGCTTTTCTTCAGAGTCTTAAATTGCTATGATTTGACTGTGTCCCTCAAAATTCATGTTTTGGAAACTTAAGCCCCAAAGTCACATATTAATCGTATCTGAAGGTAGTGCCTTTGGGAGGTAATTAGGATTAGATGGGGTCATATGGGTGGCTTCCCATGATTACACTAGTGGCTTTATAATAAGAGGAAGAGACCTCCCACAGTTGGCCTACTTTGTTTCATCATGGGATGCCCTTTGCCATACAGCAAGATGGCCATTGCCAGAGGTCTCCAGTTATTGTCTTTTTTCCCTGATGGAGTTTCTTGAATTTGGGGTGGAAATAATCTGCATAGGAATAAAGTCTTCCTATTTTCAGTGAAACCATTTCAGAATGCAGACTCTGAGGGAGAGACTTGTCCGGCTCATTTCTTTTAATGAAATGGACTCTCGTACAGGAAAATTTTCTTCTCATGTGTGTGTTTATTGCTTGATACTTTTTATTATAATTTGAGCTACTAGGCATTATTCTTAATGGCCTGAGAGTGATTCTGATGGACCACAAGATTGGACACAAATTCCCTGGATATCACCATCCCAGACAGCACAATAATACTCACTACAGTTTCCAGCTCCAAGGGTAGGCTGTTGCCATTTCCAGTTTTAAATTGTTGCTTGGCACATTGGCAGCCACTCCCTATGTTCTGAGCACTGGATAAAGAATCCACCAATCTCACACTCTCTCTGGAGGATCTGAGACCACCAAACCAAGATCTCTCAGGAGGAGACCTCCTAAGCTGACCTCTGACATTGTAGACCTGGCTTTATTGGGTCCTTAGAAACTCGCTGTGAAAAGAAAAGCGACCTGACACCTATTTCCTGCACAGGTTGCTCTTTTAGCACACGCTCACTGAAGCACACATCCAGTTCTTAGTGCTTGATCACACTCCCTGCACACCAAGTGTGCAGCTTTCTGAGTGTGACAGTCCCTAGAAGGGATGGTAAAGGATGCAGTTCTTACTTGCATTCAGCAGAGTTCGGATCTTCTTCTCTTCTTCAGCTGCTTGAAGTAGCATTTCTGCCAGCATCTTCTCCTCGGACTCCATGCACATGTCAGCCTCTCGAAGGTATTCCAGATAGTCAATCTCCCGCTGGGCACGTTCCACTCTCAGGGCCAGGTTGTTTACTGCTCTCTTATATTCACTTGTGTAGGTATGACATTTGCCCAGCATAACAGATATGTTTTTTGAGAATTCTTGGAAGTCTTGAATGTATGCCCTTGTTGCTTGGGTACATTTTTCCAGTCCTTGCTTTAATCAGAAAATAAATTTACCAAATTATTGTCAGTTATTTATCTAAGTAATAAGAACAGCTATCATTTGTAGAAAAAGATTAGAAAAATACAAATAATCATACAGGGAAAAATAAAAATCACTCATAATCTAAAATTCAAAGGTACCATTGCTGATTTTACATATAAAAGTTTTCCTATGTATTTAGTGATACATATATAAATATACATTTTAAAATGTGTTTTTTAGGAGTGGGGATTTAGCTCCATGGTAGAATCTTTGACTAGCATGGATTAAATCCTGGGTTCAGTCCCCACCACTACAAAAAAAATAAAATAAAATGTGATTTTATTATATGTATGTTTTGCAATGTATTTTTTTTCTATTAGGAATCGAACTCAAGACATTGCACTTGCCAGGCAGGTGCAGCACCATTGAGCTAAATCCCCGGCCCTGTAATGCATTTTTAACTTGCTAATACCATGTTAGCATATTTTAATGGCAATAGCTATGCTGTAAGTTTTGGTGCTGATAGGTGATCTTTTTGACATAAAAACTATATTATCCAGGTGGGAATGCTAATGCACACCCATAAACCCAACACTCTGGGAGACTGTTATCCAGTTTATTTATTCTGTTGCATTGCGTTGGATTGACATTTATAATAGCTTTCAATTTTTTGTCATTCAAATAATGCCAAGAAAAAAATCTTTGTATGTATACTTTCATGTACTTAACTGAATATTTTCTTAGGATAGATTTGCAGAAGTAAGCCCCATCCCCAGCACCTGGCACAGGGCCTAGCATATAATAGCACTCAACAAATATTTATTGAATCAAAGAATATATGAATGGAAATGGGATTGCTGAGCTAAAAGTGTAAATAGTTAAAGCTCATTTGGCACAGTTTCCCAGAATGCTTTTCACAAATGTATAAATTTATGCTCCACAGAGAAATATTGTGTGTAAGAGACTTCGTTTTGAGGGGAAAGAGATTGAGACACATAGAGCAAGAAGTAGAGACAGAAAAAGGAAGACAGGGAGAGAAAGAGACAGAGAAAGAGGAAAATCCTCTAAATCTATATCCTTTCTTATTTATTTTTGTTCTTACCCCTCTGACCCACCCTTCCCTGGGTGGGAAGTGTATCACTTGGTTGTTAAGAGTGTGCTTTGGCCAACAATGTCTGCCACTTGGGTGTGGCCTTCAAGGCCATGAGAGGACCAGTGGGAAGATCTGTACCAATCACATCTCCAAGTTTTCAAATTCACATTCAGAGGTATCGAAGTATTCGTACATATGTTATATCCTTTTCTGCAGACAAACTCAAGGAACTCAAGGAAGAGACAGACTCAAGGAAGTAGAGAACAATTTACAGGAGTTTTGGCTGGTTCTAATGTCAGGGCAAGTTGGTGCTAAATGCTGAACATAATTCTGGTGCTTTTAAAAAGGTGAAAATAAAGGGTAGGTCTGGGGAGAGAGCAAGTAAAGAAGCAGCAGGAGGCAAGTGGCCTGGGAACATTTCATCCACAGCCTCTGAGCCTCAGGATGCTGATTGGTTAATGTTAAGAAATGCATTCAGGGTGCTCTGTTGAGTTATTTTACCCTGACTGTAACTTGATGACCTAACAATTTAGACTTGAAGATTTCCCCAGAAAATATAGAGAATAAATATTGGAGATAAAAGTGTCTTTGAAAGAAGATAAATAATATCAATTAAATTTGTACAAAAGCAAGGTATTAGCCAGTTGCAATGGCATGTGGCTCCCAGCACTCTGGCAGGCTGAGGCAGGAGGATTAGAAGTTTAAGCCTAACCCTGGTAAGTCAGAGATTTAGTGAGACTCTGTCTCAAAATAAAAAATAAAAATTAAAAGAGCTGAGAATATAGCTCAGTGCAAAGGTCTTGGGTTCAACCCACAGTATGGGGTCAGGGAGGGGTGCAAAGTATTAAACATGAAATAGTAGCCTTCAATGCTGGGATGTGCCAGACTAGGGCAGAAGGTTGGTTACAGTTGTCCCTGAGAGCCTTGTTGGCCTACAAAAACTTTGGGTCTTGTCAGTTTTAGTGAGGTGGAAACCCGAATAGTTTCTGTTTAACATTTCTGAAATCTGCTCATTTCAAAGTACAGTATGAGTGCAGGTAAGGCAAAAAAATAAAATAAAATAAAGCTGAGACTTAGCCTCTCAATGTATTACCATCTCTTTTTACACTGAGCAAATAATGGTTTATTATGAAAAGATAAGAAGAAAATCAAATCAGCTATCATTCCAATAAATAAAACATTAAGGAAAAAGGTGACCAAGATTTTTAATTTTTTCTTTCAGTACTGGGGATCGAACTCAGGACCTTGCGCTTATGAGGCAGGCACAGTACCACTGAGGTAAATCCCTGGCTCTTTTTAATGTTTTTTTTTTTTTAAGAAAAGAAGCTATTGAATTTTGGTTGTCCAACGTTTTAGACATTTACCCACCAGGCCAGGCAACATTCTAAAGTACAGACTAATGACTCAACACAAACTGTCCTCAACCTCTCAGAGTTGGAATCCCTTTAGTAAATATTCAGAATAACCAGAGGGGGTAAATTCCACTATTATCGGCTCCATTTTGTAGATGAGAAAAACTGCCAGATCTGAGTAGAGAGTGAAGCCATGCTCAAGGTCTGGGAGTGGAGCAGAGATTCTGCCTTAAACTGCTAGTTTATACACATTTGTAAGTATAATTTTAGCAATGGACTTATAATGTCCTATCTGGGAAATATACATCAAAGGAAGGACAAGGAAGTGTGGATATGGGTAAGGTGATTTCCAAGCCTGGCATAGTGGTATAAACCTGTAATCCCAGCACTCAGGAGGCTGAGGCAGGAGGATCACCACAAATTCAGGTCAGCCTGGGCCACATACTGAGTTCAAGTCCAACTACAAGTTCAAGTTCAAGCTGAATTACATAGTGAGACCCTATCTCAAAAAAAAGAAAAGAAGCCTTCCCATTGCTGCCTTCTGCCAAGTACAGTGCAGTAAAAAGGCCTCCACCAGATGTGGCCCTTTGATCTTGGAATTCACAGCCTCTAGAATTGTTACCACAGGAAATGAACAATAGCTCATCAGCAGCTGAATATTACAAAGAAGTTCTGAAACAAGACAATACTCATGTGGAAGCCATTGCATGCATTGGAAGCAACTACTTTTATTCTGATCAACCAGAGATAGCTCTCTGGTTTTACAGGCGACTCTTGCAGATGGGCGTTTATAACTGGCAGCTTTTAAACAATCTGGGGCTGGGTGGCTTCTATGCCTAGCAGTATGATACAACTCTGACCTCATCTGAACATGCCCTTTCTCTTGTGGAAAATGAAGAAGAGGCAGCTGATGTCTGGTACAACTTGGGACATACAGCTGTGGGCATAGGAGATGTGAATTTGGCCCATCAGTGCTTCAGGCTCGGTCTGGTGAACAACAACCATCGTGCTGAGGCCTACAACAACCTAGCAGTGCTGGAGATGCAAAAGGGCCATGTTGAACAGGAAAGAGCACTATTACAAACTGCATCATCTTTGGCACCCCATATGTATGAACCACATTTTAATTGTGCAACAATATCTGCTAAGATTGGAGATCTGCAGAGAAGTTATGTTGTTGCACAGAAATCTGAAGCAGCACTTCCTGATCACGTGGATACACAACAATTAATTAAACAATTAAAGCACCATTTTGCTATGCTCTGTTCCTGAGACCGAATATGTTCTTATGAAGGGGTATTATGCAACAGAAAAAAAGTAGTATGTGTGTGTATATCTACAGTATAATATATCCTATGCAGACTACTTAGTGAAGGTGTCATATAAGAGAGTTTCAACTACAAGGTACAATGAAAAGTTTATAATAAGAATTTTATAGAAGAATATTATGAAATACAAAATTTAAATATTTACAAGTAGAGTTTGAAACCTCCTCTCATATTTATGGTGGATGTTTGTTTATATTTACTATATTAATGATTTCTTCAAATTTTCATAATTGCATATTTTTAAATCCTTAAGCATCAGGCATCATATAACGTAAGATATCTGGAATCTGCCCTTAAAACTAATAGTGTATGTTTATCCTAAGTAGAGAATAAAAATTGTATTTCAAACTATTTTTTAATCAAACATTTTGTCATTATATATTATGCTTTAAAATAAATCAATATATAAAACAACATGCTGTCATTTTTCATGAGTTTTTGTTTTCATCTCAGATGAAACAAGTTTTTCAGAAGTTTTGTATGCTTATAAATAAAGTTATTTCAAATTATATGCCACCAATTTTGATTTTTTTTCCTGAAAAGGTATTTATAGACTATCACATTATTAAGATAAGAATATCACGATTGGAATCCCCCTGTGGTCAGCCCCAAGAAAGGCTGGATTGGGCCAGGGATTTAGCTCAGTGGTTCTGCTGCCTGCCTTGTAAGCGCTAGGACCCGAGTTTGATCCCCGGTACCAAAAAAAAAAAAAAAAGAAAGGCTGGATTGTGAGGTCCTGGGGAGGTGCTGGAACTTTTTCGACCTTACTGAGTGGAACTCTCCCTGAGCTGATCACACAAGGGAATGTGTGAAATCAGAGCTACTCATACTGTTTCTTGGGATCTGTCTGTACCACTTTTCATGCTTTTTAGCTTCTCAAAAACTTTGAGATTTACATTCTATTCATATTTGTGTAATTAGTACTACTTAGCTAATAGAACACAAATTTTGAATTCAAGGAATTATAGGTTGTTAGAGAGTAGAAGTAACTTCAGAGAATGTGGAAGGAAGTCCCTTTGTGCCATGAACCAAGGAAGCGAGGCCCTCATTCACACAGCTGCTTGGTGGTACAGAATCTAAGATCTTGTTCCTTGACTCCCTGATATGTGCTTGTTTAGCACTTGAGAATTTCCTTAAGTGCTAACAAATTTCCTAATACTATGTTCATTATTTAGATTAAAGCTATATAAAGTGAACAATTTTATTAGTAAATTTAAAGTAAGAGCTAAGCATAATGGCTGACATCAAAGATGTTGAATATGCCCACCTGTTCTAACCACCGTGTGTGAATTAATTCATTTCATTCCCATTGCAGTCTGACGCAGGCCTGTTATTATACCCATCTTACAGAAAACTGAGGCACAGAAAAAAGGAGTAATTGTGAGTGGAGATTCAAACGTGAGCGGCATGACCCTTGAGTATGAGCTCTAAAACCTTATATTCAACTGTCGCTCAGTGTTTCTTCTCTAAATAGAGGTATTATTATTTAAAATGAATGTCAACACAGCAAAAACAAAACAAAACAAAACAAAACAAAAAACCCCTAAAGTATTCAATGCTCCTAAGGAGATATGGAGAGATTTTCGTCTCGAATTTACGTGGATGTGAGCGTTGTTGTGAAGAATGGGTAAGGATGGCTGACACTGCATCAGGAGCTATGGGTGTCTTTGTAAAAAACCTGCTTTTAGGTTGCATAACTTCT